TGTATCGTGGTTAATCTACATGGGTTGATTTAAGGACTTCTCAAGAATCGGGGCATAAAATTTAGTTTGATTGATACATATAATTAATAGGTGATTAAGTGTATCTGAAGTTTTTGTTGAAAAGATGTGTGGTTTGACAACAAGTTGTAACTTTTTGGGCTTCGAATGCATACTTTTAAGTGCTTTTCAGGGATTAGAGATTGATAAGGGTAGCAAAACAATTCAAACCAAAATTATGGGATTGGAAGTTTATTTGATGCTTGCAAAAATTTATAGAATCTAGCAAATTTAATGATGGTTGATTAAAATTCACCTAAAGTGATAAATTGAAGTTGACAGATTCTAAGCCTCTTTCAGGGGAAGTCCGAAACATTTTAAGGCCTAAAGCGGAAATAAGAAATGAGACTTTTTTGTTTTTAATAGTAATAATAAATTTAATTTTAATTTTTTAAAATACAAAGATATTAATTAAGTTTTTATATTCAAGCTTTTGTTACCATATTTGAACTTGAGAGAGAGAGTAATTGAAAAATTATGATTATAAGTTTAAACTTGACTTTTTTTTTAGGGGATTAAGACTTGATTTTAAAATAGCTTTAATTTTATAGTTAACTTTTTTTTTATTCAAAAAATTGAATTTTAGGGCCTTTTAATTTCATGGGCTGAATTAATAAGCCCAATCTCCTAAAGTTGAAATCTTTTATTTGAGCTTAAATCTAAATTTGTTAAGAAACCTATTTCTTATAAATTCAGATTTTTAACTTAAGCTATTACTATAAATATATAAATTAATTGGGTCTTCCCTAAATTCAGACTTCATTGGCCCAATAATTGGGCCGGCCCTGCTCTTTATTTATTTTTTTTTTTTTGGGGGGAGTGGGGAGAGTGTTGCTGTTTCTCATCCCAATTACATATTTATATATTTTTTTATGGCTGTAAAACAATAGGTAAGAGACAGAAAATGGAAGCCGTAGGCAAAACCTGTTTGATCTCTTCATCAACTTACAATTTAACAATTCTAATCAACCAATTTAACTAATCGTGTCATGTTCGTGTTGATCCATATAATTCATAATAACAAATTTGACGCTCAATTTTATGTCTAAAATTTTATTATTACTTACTCCAAGGGCGGAGCGAGAAATTTTGTCTTAGGGTGGGCACACTTAACCAATAAAATTTAATTTTTTTTCTCCAATCAATAAAAGTATTGTCATAAATATCTTTTTTTTTTAAATCGTGTTGCATATTTAAATATTCATTAAATATAAAAAGATCAAACGCCAATATATATAGTCTATAAAAATAATATTCAATAAAAAAAAGGCTAATTATAACCCTTTTCGAAAAATGAGGCTAATTACAACCATGTACTATGGCCCCCGACAACTTTTCATACTTTAAAAAGATTGTATGATAACGTTATTGTATGATAATATTATTAATAATGTTGTCAAAAATGTCTTTCTCTATATAAGTAATTAAGTTAATAGTAATCAATTTCTGACTAAGTTGTATCGATTTTAAAAAACTATAATAATTTCAAACAATTATGAATAGTATAAGATTAAAAGTTATCGAAAAAAATAGATTCAATCACTAGTCGCAACTTTTTAACATATTTTTACATTTCTTTAAATGAAAAATGTGCCCAATTATTTTTTTGCATAAGATTTAATTGGTCCAAATTTATTAGAATGGTCAAATATATTTGGTTTTTGGTCATGAGAGTAGGTCTAATTCCAACTACCTAATAAAAAATCATAAATATCCATAATTCGAGGTCGTAGTCCGAGATCTGATAGAAGATCCGCCAAATTAATATCTACATGACTTTTTTTTAAAAAATAACCACCTCTATTTGGAGAAAATGATAACTCTGACTCAAACTTTCTCTTGAAGTACTTCTCTATTACTGTTTCAAAAAATTATTCAAGAAAATAGGTTTATACATCAACTTTTGCAATTAATTAAACAAACTATTTTGTCAATTTTATTTTTATTACTATCATTCTAACGAATATATTGTATTAGGAAGCAAATACAAGTACAAATGCATAAAAGTATCTAATTCATAATTTTAATAAATTCAAGCAATATCATTCAAAGTATTAAAAATAGATTCGGATTGAGAGTTACCAAAAAAATAGGTCGACTCAATAACCACAACTTAAGGTTTGAGCTATAACAAATCAAAAAAATAACTAGGGCAAAATGTACAAAAAAAACAAATTAGTGAAAAATGCATAAAAATTTAAATAAGGGCAAAATGCACAAAATATAAATTAGAGAATTGAGCTCAAGGAAGGACGAAAAACTCAAAGAGCTGAGCTTCCTTCTTGTGTGTTGGCTGTTAAGCAGAGCTTCTCTTTGTTTATTCTCTTTTTCTTATGGCTGAGAATGGGAGTGAGTGAGACTAAGAGAAAAAAAAAAAAGATATGTTTAGGTCAAGTGGGCTAAAAGTTTCGTTTTTAAATGGTGGGTGGGCCAAAAGTTATATTTTTAATGTTTGACCAAAAATTTTATTTTTAATGTTGGGTTAAAATTTTTATTTTTTTTAATAAATTTGGGTGAATTGTGATTGGTCAAATATTTGATTTTTTAATAAATTTGAGTAGATAATAGTGGACTCAAATTTTTTTGTTTTAAATGGATTTAATTTTTTTAATTATTTTACATAAATAATGTAGGCCAAATATTTTTATCTTAGATTTTAGGTGGGCACAAATAATATACTATACAAATATATAATATATATATTTAACTAAAAAAAATTTATTTTTTTTTTAAGGGAAACACGTGCCCACCCTAGCCCTTGACTTACTCGAACCTATGTTCATACTTTTCTTATAATTTAAAAATTAACTTAAAAAATATAATAATAAAAATGAGTAAAAATATCTTTTTTGTTGTATAAGAACTAGATCATTACTTAATAAAATATAATAAAAAATTAATATTTTATTTTTATACTACTATTTAAATGTGTTAATTATATCAAATTTCGTGTTATTCGTATTTAACACTAATAAAACTCATTTATTATATTCATATTAGTGGATTGTGTTATATACCAGTTTGTATCAAGAAGTGTCGAACCTTGGTGTCGATTTTAAATTTTGTTTTCAACCTTTGAGATGGCCATTGTCTAGTCTCAACAAAATTGTGAAGATGAAATGGAAAAGACATATGACAGAACTGCTAAAACATTTGTGTCTAAAACTAACCTGCTAAATTCTTTGCTGCCTAGACTTCGATCAGCTTGCCTAGATGCTGCGACCAAGTCATCTTCTACAACCTGTCACCAAATGTTATAGTGAAAATGATGTCAGAAAGAATTGCCATGCAGCTTCAAATTAGGAACACAAAATGTGGAAAAAGGTGTATCACAACCCATTTGCGTCTCACCTCTTTCCATTTATGATGAAAACGGATTGTCGTTTAAAAGTATTCTTACGAAAATGTGTGATTGGTTGTTAAGGTGTTTTTGAGGAAGAAGAGGTTTTCAAAGATCTGGAGAAGATACTAGCCGGTTGGCATCAACAGGACAGCAACTGCAAAATGAGCCACACCGAAACCCAATCACTACTACTACGTCCCTAATCAATCCTCTCTCTCTCTCTCTCCAGAGCGCTTTAGCTGCGGTTTTCATTGAAGGTCTCATCTTCCTTCTCGTCTCCGCCGTCGGTTTACGTGCAAAACTTATCCCCAAACCCGTCAGAATCTCCTCCTCCGCCGGTATTGGTCTCTTCTTAGCCTTCATCCGTTTACAGAACGGAGGCTCCGGTTCAAACATTCGCCAACGGCACCGTTGCTCTCATTCCCGGCGGCACTGTTTCCGGCGACATCATGTGCCTGAATGGTCGCATGGAAAGTTCCACATTCTGGCTCGGAGTCATCGGCTTTATTATCATCGCGTATTGCTTAGTGAAAAATATCAATGGCGCTATGATTTATGGGATTGTCTTCGTAACCGCCGTCTCGTGTTTTCGCATCGCAGCGTTTCCGAAAACGCCGGCCGCAACTCCTCTTGCCAATACTTCAAGAAAGTCGTCGACGTTCACAAGATCGAAAGCACCGCCGGGGCTTTGACCTTCAAAAGCATCGGAAAAGGGTATTTCTGGGAAGCCTTATTCACTTTTCTCTACGTCGACATCTTGGACACCACCGGAACTATGTATTCCATGGCTCGTTTCGCCGGATTTACAGACATCAACGGCGACTTCGTAGAACAATACTTCGCATTCATCTCCGACGCTTTTCAGCTATCGTTGTCAGATCATTGTTGGTTACTTCACCGGTGACGGCTTTTCATGGGGATAAGAGGGTGGGCGGACGAGGTTGAGAGCGTTAACGATGGTGGGGTACTTTCTACTGGCGGTGGGACCGCCGTTAATACTGGTGGGGATTTTAATGATGAGATCGGTGGTTGAGATTGAGTGGAAGGATATGAGGCAGGCGATTCCGGCGTTCTCGAAGTTGATTTTGATGCCGTTGAGTTATTCTGTAGCCTACGGTTTGATCGCCGGTATTGGTATTTACATTGTCTTGCACCTCTGGGAATGGGGTGAGGGATTGTTTTTAAGAAAACTTGGAATTCTTGAGGTTCAGGGGCAAGTAGTAAGAGTAATGGTGCCCTCAATAAAGGGGTCAATGAATCAAATAGTCAGACTTTTAGGTATGAAAGTAGCAAGGCCCTTGAAGTTTAGATAATTATAGATTATGAGGTTGAGGGAGCAAAATGGTTCGACTAATAATGAAATATGAAGGTGTTTGGACACATCAAATTGAAACATTTAGGCCATCAAGCGCAGTCAAATACCCATTATGAATCAGATGCTATAGGGATTCGAAGACTTGCATTTAGAACAGATCGTTACGAAAGCAGCATTACTTGGTAAAGGCTATTCCCACCACATTCAAAACTGATAAATAATGTAGATCCAAAGATACAGGAAATTTACATCATTGTGATCCCTTTTCCTTCCGCGACAAATTCTTTACCTACTTTCCTGGAGTCTCTCCCTTCTTAATCTCTGCAGTTCCTTAACCATTCGCCATTTTTCCAATGACAGGCATGTTTCACCAAAACTTGCGGACATTAAACGAGCCATTGTCAGCCATCTGCACGACAATATTATCCAAGTCTCAACAAAATTGCAAATGAAATGGAAAACCATATGACCGACCTGCTAAAACATTTGTCTAAAACTAACCTGCTAAATTCTTTACTGCCTAGACTTCGATCAGCTTGCCTAGCTGCGACCAAGTCATCTTCTACCACCTGCAACATATAACCCAATGTTATAGTCAAAATTATGTGAGAAACAACCGCCATGCAGCTTCACATTAAAAAAGACAAAAAGGTGGGGAAAGATATATCACAAACTCCTCTTCACCCTCAAACTTAAGCCATGAATGCAGCGGTAACACAACTTTGTGAATCACAATCAAACGCATATGAACTTATAAGGATTTATGCAAACTGAATGTTGAGACATGACGGCCACAGCAAAGGTCAGGTCCCACAGCATGATCACCCAGATTCTTGTGTCCAATTCTTAAAGTTCGTCGACATCTCAAGTGTATGTATGACAAAGCCTTTTTTCTGTCATCAAGTGTATGACAAAGCCAGAAACCTCATTTCTAGTTACAAGAAAATTTAAGGTGTCCTCTCCCTTGCATATGCAAAACTGCATCTCATTGCTAAAAGAAAATGTGCACTAGCAGTAGAAGTTGCTCAACTCATACCTTCTGCATTTCTTGCCCAATCGAATGTGGCAATGATCTAAGAGTAGCCAGGTACCATCTCCAAGCTTTTAGTGCTTCTGCATCCGAAACTTCTGATGAACCCGCTGACGATGGATGGAAAGGCAGAACTACATCAGCTGGCAGGATATTTGATTTCCCCTCAGAGAGAACCAGTAATTGAACATCTGCTGCCATCTCCATTTTATAATATGTGAAGTCATACTCCACCTGAGAAAACAAACAAAAAACATCAAATATACCACACAAAATTTGGAATATACCATTAAAATTACAAGAAAGAAAATACAGAATTTTTTACTACAATGTGTAAAATTTACAATTCTCAAACTTTTTAATGCCAGGTTAAGCTACACAAGCAGAAGACAATTCGAAATTACCTTTTGCAAATCCATTAGGTTCTTTAGATTTCTTATATTATCAATCCCTGTAGAATTGAGGGTCCCTGCTTGTAAGTGTGTCTCATCAATTGTCAAATGTGAGCCCTGAGCTAACTGCAGAACTCCAGACAGCAGTCTAGAGCAATAGCATATAGAGGTGTGAGGACACGTTACAGTGACTGTTATTTCATAGGTTATAATATTACTATGTACGAAAACACTTTTTCCTTCTTGTCAGAACTAGAATACCTGTTTGCCTGATTATCCTTTCTCGGGGCAAGTGTACCATTGTTAAGAAAATCCACTGTGAGAGGTATGCTATGTGTGAAGGGCACAAGGTTCTTGACTGCAACCTTAAGACAATTGCCAAAAACAGACATAGTTTCCTTGCTGAAACAAGTAAGATTCAATGAAAACTTCCCCACAGCAAGCGTGTCTACCCTAGCATGCACCTACAACAATAGGACTTGTCATTTATGTCCAGATTGCAAAGTTTGAGCGCATTAGAAAGTTTGAAATTGAAGTGCTCTAACAGAAGAAATTGCATGCTGAGATATCAAGATTTAAATATGATACTACAGATATTATCACACATATAATATTAAATTGAGAACCATGATTCTGAGATGTATCAGTATACCTTGGACAAGAGATGCAATAACAAGAATTCAGCTGCCAGCCATCATTTCCAAGGACAGTTGTGAGATGGCCCAATAGAACAAAATAAAATCTTATTTGAACAAGTGGCAACTGGCAGAAGTAAGGCAATAGCTATACAAAGAAAAAGACCACAAGTAACATTAGGCAGATTAGTTATCAGCCATGTAGAGATATGTTCCGTATGTTCCGCTTACCTCTAATGTGGGGGAACTAGAAAGAAAGTCATGAACCGCAAGCTTCCGGTGCACAAGACAATGAAGCCAAGGTACCTGCAAAAGAACATGTTAGAATCCCTTTTGTTATTAGCATGAAAAATGTCTTTGCTATAGAAAGACAATAATCTCAAAGAGACTTAACACTGACAAGACACAAGTTCAAGATGTATATGACCAACAATTAAGAAATAAAATTCAATAGATGCGTATGAATTCAACCATGAGATCTATATATATGATCAAGGCCGATAGAATTTGACTCTTGGGCATGAATCCTTCTTTCAGAAACATCCTTCTCGACCAATTTTCTACAATTAGAATGCTTACTCCTGAAAACAATAAAAGATAACTTCGGAGTGACAAGTCCACTATACTTCAGCTTAACCACAAACTTCTCGAGAACAAATGAAAACATGAAATGGTGAGACCTAAAATGATGACCAAGTTATACAGCCAATCTTTGAGTTGCCTGGACTTGGAGCTTCATTGAGTCAAGATGTTTAAAGAAGGGGGTAGGAAGCAGGGAGCGAGTTTTTGGATTCTGAAATCCTACAACTTGGGGTTCCAGCTCAGTTTATTTTGAATTAAGATTTGAAAACTGCATTCAGTTCCACCTAATAATTCCAGCATTAGGCTACAAGACATCATGTTGTTACAAGAGGGGCAAAAGCAAAGATGTTAATGCTTACAATAGCTGACAGACAAAGTGAAAAGTGAAACTAAGGTGGTGTAACTGGATTAGTCCTTGAAATGGTGTGATATATGGTTATGAGTTAGTTACATTGATGCATAATGAGATGCTGGCCATTACAAGGTTGGTGGGTACAGGCAACATATACAAAATTGAAAAAGCCAACGTTAAATTCTTAAAATCAGAGTGAACTACCCAGAAATAATAGTCTATGCACAAATTATGCTCTTCATTATACATGTAAAAATATATATGATGGTCACAGTTTAACAAGCCTAAATGAGCTTACCTTGGGAGTTCTACTGAATACAGACAACATACAAAAACTAATTATGCTCAACAAATAGGAAAAATAACATACTACAATAACAGAAATATGGATCAAGACCTTGCTAGGAGGCAGATGAACCAATGTATCTTCACATAAACCCTGCATTAACTCCTCAGAATCATCTTTGTCTACTGTAACCTCGGGATCAAAAGTGAGGACACCAACAAACTCAAAAACATCATTCAGTTTCAAGTCAGACTCTACAGAGTCATAAACCTGCACAATCAAAATACTATGAGGAAGGAGGACTAATCTTAGTAGAGCATAATCTACAGTGATATTACTAATTGCTACCTAGAAATAAATAAATTTTTTAAAAAAAGGGATCAAACTCACCGTCACGAGACAAGGAAAAGTCCTTCTCTCAAAATCAGGCACCAAACACGTACTAGAACAAGATCCCTCACTCATAGAAGACTGAGAAGTCATTCCATCCTCTCACTTAGAAAGACAAAAGAGGAAGAAGAAAAAAAAGTCAAATTTGCATATGACATGTATGCAAAACTGGAAATACCAGAAGTTACCTTCCAACTAAAATGCATGGGCACGGATACGGCACGATACGGAGACGCTGACACGACATTTTTAAAAAAAGTAGGACACAGACACGTTGGAAACAAGTTACAAAAAAATTATATTTTATATATAATATTATATAATTTATTGCAAATATAATGATAATGATATACAATTCATAACAAATTCAGTATTTTATGATAAGTAAACCTAATGTCTAGTCATCTGTGTGAATTTTTAGATTAAAGTATCCTCATTATAATCAACAATCATCAATTTTTTTTTTATAGACAATGTATACCTAATATATAATTTAAATAATTATTTTCATTTTCTCAATTCCTCTTTTTTAAAACTTTTATATGTCTATTGTTTAGTAGTAGACATGTTCTAAAGAAGTGTCGGACACGTCACCAAAGAAGTGTCGGACACGTGTCCAAAATTAAAAATTTATCTTTTAATTATAGATATGGATAAAAAAGTATCAGACACGAGTTTGAGAGTGTCAGTGTGTACGTGTCCGACACGGATACGTCACCTTCTCGAGAATGTTTGTACTTCATAGCCTTCCAAGAAGCACAAAGAGAGAAGGATTGTAAAAGTTCATCAATCTTGTCAAAAATGTATCATGCAATAGATAAAAACAGCAAGAAAAATGAAGATTGAGAGAAGGTTTTCTAAAAAAGTGAAACTCTTTTGAATAAAATCCTATTTGACCCTTCAGAAGTAGGCATCTATTCCCTTTAAAATATGGTTCATTTGTATATAGTTTTTACTAGAAAGCGTATGGAAAAGTTCAACTTCATTTGAGATTAGATACTGCAACTTAGAGTTGCAAAGCATGCTTTCATAATTAACATGAGGAACTAATAAATTCATGCCTTCCCACCCACTTCAAATTCACAGCCTAAGAGATTTTAGGAGTTCTCATTGAAGTTAAACATTAGCATGGCAAATCAACCAGATGGTGAACACTACTAAACCTTTCAGCCCAAAAAAATTTAAATAGGGTAAATGATGAAACATCTCCTCCCATGACGATATGCTATAGACAATAAGGATATGATACGTTCACTTACAAAAATGAACTATCATGTCTTACTTTTTAATTCGAAATAGAATCCTCAAACATAGAGTATTAAAGTAATTAGTTTAATCTAGTCAGCTCTCCCCCTCCCCCAAAAAAAATAAATAAATAAATAAGAGTGATCATGCATGGGGAAAATGCAATATTAAAAAAGAGAGAGAAATAGAACATATTTCATGAAGCTATTTCTGCTTACCATCTTTTTTGCACATGAGGAACCTTCAAACTCGTTTGCACAGATTACCAACTATTCTAACGCATTTGACATTGAAGTTTTAATATCAGGCTAAATAATTTAGAAACCTCTCAAGAAAGACACAAGTGCAGTTGCATATAAGCAATCTGGATCACTATTGAAGCCTATAAGATCTTCCAAACTGGGAGATAGGATGGTCCTGCTTGTCTGCATGGACGCAAAGCAGGGGCTGAACTACACATCTTGTGAGAGCAAGTGCCCCCACTCAATTTTCTTTTGCAATAAATTTTATTTAGTAAGGTTTAATATATTCTAAATTTGACCCACCAAAAAAAAAAAAAAAAACTCATACAATTTATTCTACTTAATCTTCTCTTCCATTTGAATTAAATTTCTTAACTCTTAATTAAATAAACTTAAATAATGCTTAGTTAGCTAAATCTCAACAATTATTCAAAAAAACATTCTAAGTTCTTTACTCTCTCTCCCTATCTCTTGCCTAATCCCTCTCACTTTGTTAATTTGAATATTTTGAATATTCAGATCATCATGTAATATTTTTATAAATTGTAAAATGTAGTCATGAACAATTGTAAAGGTAAAGTCACACTGAATATCAAGAATTCAAGTTGCGAAAATATCCTCGCACATAAGGTTGTGTACATCTGACAATTCTCAGACTTTATAGTCTTAAAATTGTTAAAAGAGCAATGTTATTGGGATCCAATTAGGGATTTAATTTGAACATCTAATGTTTTGCAATCATTGATTTACAAGTGGTTCTCAACATTAAATGTAATCTACTTGCTAATCTAGCAGTAATAACGCTTTAGGCCTCTAAATTAGGTCCCTAAATTAACAACAATTAGTATTATTATTGTAGAATTTGCCCCAACTGGAGTAAGTTTCTAACCCCCGCCCCTGATGCCAAGTTCACAAAACAAGGAGTATTGGGGCTTCTCATTTAATATATCTAAACGAGCATTCTTCAATAGTTGAATGAAAGAGAAAAGGATTAGGCAAGTTTAAAGAACTGCAGAGATGGAAATTACCTGCATATTTCCATCACAAATAGCTGTGAGGCACTCTCTCTGGCGCTTCTCCCCATGTGGAGATGTAGTAGTGGAACACGAATTTATCAGTGCTTCAGAAAAAGTTTCTGTCCATGAATTTTGGCCCGGAACCTAGAAAGAAAGAAGGTCAACAGACCAATTGATAAAATGCCAACAAAGTTGGCAGCATGAACGGTGAAGAAGCTCTACTCATTAATGATAATGAAATAACAAAATATGTTCTATATAGAATAAATCAACTGATTTGGAAAACACATTGAAGTTCCTAAAAAAATTCATTCATCAAGTAGTAGATACAATCAGAATCAAAATAAATAAAGAGATTAGACGGGACAATCAAACATTGAACTAACAAAGAAAAAAATCTATAAAAAAAAAGATTCGGAACATCAAAATGAAAATACAAAAAATTCTCTGATAAAAGGAAAAATCAAAAAATTGATAGACCACTTCTTAACATGCTAACAACTAACAAACATCAGTACTGAAATCAATGAAGATCACCTTAGTATGAGCCCATGCCTACATGCTGAGTACAAGAGGCGACATAAACAAAATGAAAAACAACATTAGAACTCACAGGAACACAGTAAAGCAGACGACGCTCCCAAACTCGCATATCGGATGAAGAGCCCATAGGAAATTGGGAAGCATCTGCAAACTTGTTGGTTCTCCATGTTGCTCCATCCTTTAAAATAAAATAAAAAACACATAATTCAGAATGGCACCAAAAAAATGAGTGCAGAGAGGCTGTTCTTTGTCCATCAATAAATAAGAGAACAAAACTACCTTGTAAACACCAGCATAGAATTCATTACCCAGCATGTCTTGTATCATTCCCCGGTATCGAACCAAAGTGTTGGGTTTAACCCATTCAATTGTTGTAGGATTAAGCAATGGGACCTAATCCATCATAAAAACCCAAGAACAACCAATTAGAAAAATCAAACAAATCACAGCATCCTAAGGAACACAAATAAATACGTTTAGCTACGAATAGAATATTTTATACATCACTTCCGATTCTGTGAGCAAAAATCAACAAATTAGCACCATGTAAAATCCGACATTTAGTTTCTCTAGATAGCAACGCAATCTTCCTTTTTTTTCGGCTGGCCTTATACTAAGGCAATCAAAATGAATAAGTAATACATTACAGATGGATCAGATAGAAATTAAAAGACAATATATAGATTGCCAATGTCGAATAAAACCCTAGGGCCTTTCAGAATCTCGATATATACAGAAGCAAATCGATCAGCTTAAACATATAACTGATTGAGGCATTGAGTGTGACAAGGAGAGAAAGAGAGACGGGACCTGAGAGAGACCGCCATTGTCGAACACGAACTCGCGAAAAAGATCGGTGACTCCCCAATCTTTGCCGTTGAAGTTGGCCGGGTCTTTGCCTGAGGCCACGGCCTTCTCGAACGTCAATCGTACGGTAGCCCCAACATTTCTCTTTGGAAAAATTTCAATAACACCCCCTCTAGTTTATTATATTTTCAAAGACACCCCTTTAATTTCTAAATCTTCAATAACACCCCTTCTAGTTTAATTTAAACATCACTAACACCCCTACCATTAAACTATTATTTCTAACAAAATAAATTCATATACCAAAAATGCCCCTACATAACCTCAAGTAATTTTTTTACATAAAATTTTATTAAAATTTGAACTTTTAAAATTTTAAAAAAAATAATAAATAACAATTTTAGTAAATAATTTGTTAGTAAATAAAAAATTAGTATTTACTAACAAATTATTTACTAAAATTATTATTTATGATTTTTTAAAAAAATTTAACAGGTCGAATTTTAATAAAATTTATGTAAAAAAATTACTTGAGGTTATGTTGTGGCATTTTTGATAATTATTTACTAATTAGGAAATTTTAAAAAACAAATCGAGCCTATTAAAATTTTTTTTAACATATTAAAATTTGAACCGATTTGAACTCTATCCAAGTTGTTAGAGCCGATTAAAATTCTCTTTCGAGTCGATTATAATTTATATTTTTTTTTATTAAAATTTGTGTCAATTAAAATTAGATTTATTAAAATTTAAGTCAATTAAAATTCATATATTTTTATATATTAAAATTTAGACTGATTAAAATTCAATACGAATTAATTAAAATTTGATTTGAGTCGATTAAAAATAATTCTTAATTGGCTCAAACAAAATTTTAATTAGTCCAAATTCTAATACATAAAAAAATATAATTTTAATTGGCACAAATTTTAATATGTAAAAAAATAAATTTTAATTAGCTTAAATCGAATTTTAAGCGATTTGAATTTAATTACGTAAAAAAAATTAAAAAACAGAGGGGGTCTCATTGAAAATATATTTATTTAGAGGGAGTCTCATTAAAAATATGTTTATTTAGAGGGGATTTAGATGAAATTTGTCCTCAAATATATCGTGGATAATTTAATAAAATTATATTCTACTTAATATTTTTAATTTGACAAGGATGTTATTGAAAATTCAAAAATTAGAGAAGGTGTCTTTAAAAATATAATAAATTACATGAGGTGTGGTTGAAATTTTTTTTTTCTCTCTCTCTCTCTCTCTCTGGGGGTCGAACTGAAGAATTCTAGGCAGCTACCCGCGATAACTGCTAAGTATGTATATTTTCCCGCCAAGAGTAACGGGTCGGGTATTTTCCCGCCAATCTTGGCTATGATATTTTTAACTTATATGGAATTTGGGTTATGAGATTGCTTTACCCCAACATTTTAATCTTTTTTTTTTTATTTTAATAGTTAGAGATATCTAAATTAATTTATGTGTATTTTAACTAATTTTTTTTTCAGTCAAATTATTCACATTGGAACTAAAGTATTCATGACATGTGAGAATAAATTCCTCATAAATTTATTCCAAAAATTATCAAGATTCAAAATTAAATAACAAAAATGATACATGACTACTCGCCCCACCCATGCAGTCCACATATTTAAACTCATTATCTTCTTTCATATTTTTCTTTTTCATCCTTTCCTTCTTTCATTTTTTAAACTTGAAAAGTTAGATAAAAAAAAGATTGACATTTTTTGAGTTGCAAAAAAATTTCTTTACATAAACAATGAAATAAAGGATAGTTTGTGGGAGGAAAAATGGGTAGTAATGAGGACTAACCATAAAATGCAATGGTAAGAAAAAGCCTTTAATTTTTAATTTAATATTATTATCTTTTCGTCGATAGTGATCAAGCCATTTATTGTATTTTAAAAATAAATATAATAATAAAATATATTTTAATTTTTATTAGTTGAGTATTTAACTTTCTAATTATTTAGTAAAAATAGTTTCACACATGTGTTCCCTAAGTAATGTGAGATAAAATACATGGACTTAATACTTTCCACTTGTATAGTACAAGCAACTCAACTTGTAAAAATACAAATTTGCATTATTTTTTATTTTTGTGGACACTAATTTTTACTATTTAGGGTTAGTCTCAAAAACACCTCTTGAACTATGGTCTTTATTTTAAATTACTCTCTGAACTTTTAATATTATAATTTATTCCCAAATTATGTAATTTATTTCAATCAATCCCTTTTGTTAAGATTAATCATCAAAAAGATAAATTAACAATTAATTTTAACAGAATCTGTTTATTAATCTTAACAATTTATCTATTAATCTTAACGAAAGAAATAATTGAAAAAAAAAACATGATTGAAAGGTCAAATGGGGACAACTTGAAGTTCAAAAGGTATTTTTTTTTTTTAAAAAAAAAAAAGGGGCATATGCCTTTGAACAACATTATAAAATCTTGTTTAAAAAAATTATAACATATAAAAAATAGTAGAAAATCATCAAAGTTACATATCATTAAATAAAGAGTGAAGATACAACTCACTATAATATACTACGTTAAATTGAGATTGTGTGATATCAATTCTAATATCATAACTTGTTTCGGTTTTAATTTGGCCAAAAAAATTATAATTTGACCCACAAAAATTTTATAATTTCTGGTACGATCCCTCCTTTAATTCCTTTTGTTTTACCCAATATCGTAACTCAACTCCTAAAAATTCAGAATGAGCAAAGTCTAAAATTACAAAAACATCAGTTAAAATATACAACAAATATTATATCCACATTATGCACCACTCAAGATCATCCTTCCCCATCTCCTCTGCCATATATAAAGTTACAGGAATAGAAAAGAAAAAAGAAAGAAAGAGAAAGAAAATCAAAACCCATTCAATCACACTTCCTTTTACATTGAGAATAGTCTGGTAAAAAAGTTTCCAGAATTGGACTTCTCCAAGCATGCCACGTGGACGTATCTTCCTAGCTTGTCTACCTGCCTAGGTTCACCTTTGGTATCTTTCTTGCACACTTTGCAGGTTTTGTCAACCCAACCTTCTTCCACGTATTGTCCATCCACTGATTTCATGGAAAACGAAAGAACAATATTCTGAGCTTAGGAAAGTTACAAGGATTATACCAAATAGACACAATAACTAGGTTATAGTTTTTTGGTTTCGGTTCAACGATTTTGGGTGTCGGGTCAATTTATGTGAATCTCGACTAATCTTTTTCTTAATTTAATTAAAAATCGATTATCCACACGAAAACTATAATATTCATAAGAAAATGTCAAGATTCGAATTACGTTTTAAGATTTTGTTCTAATTTTCTATATTGAGGCAAGGCTGGCCCAACAGCATGAAAACAAAAAACATGAACTTTAGGCTCCAAATTTTTAGAAGACCCCATAATTTTAGATATATCACTAGCCCATAAAAAAAAATTAAATCTATTTAATTTTAAACCCTAGAAAAAAACCCCAAAAAATTAAATCCAATCAAAATTTTTATTGCAATAATTTAGACATATACTATAATCCATAACATTAAAAACTTGAAATTAAAAAAATAAAAAATATACTTAAAAACCAACTCATATTTAGTCCCTCCCACCCAACAACCCAACAACCCACCTCTCTCTCTCTCTCTCTCTCTCTCTCTCCGGTAAAAAAAATAAAAACAAAAGTTAAAATCTCTTTTTTGACAATAGTAACACATTTTTTTTTTGTCTCTCTCACATAAAAAATTAAAAATAAATTAATTTTTTTAAAAAACTATACTAAAAATTAAAAAACCTCAATTTAATATTTCTATTTTAGACTTCAAATTGGCTTAAACCTGCCCAAGAGGTTAAACTCAAGTAAACCAACTTGGTTTGAAATTTGGGCATGATTACCCAACTTGGTTTGAAATTTGGGCATGATTATCCAATTGAATTTTGAGTTCAATTTGGGTTTGAGTGTAGGATATTTGAATTGATATTCGAGTTCAATTCGGATAAGTTGCTGAAAAACTGAGACTCCAATATTTTTATAGCCCAAATTTTAGTTGGGATTTTCTTTGCCCACGCCAAACAATATTGCCGCAACATAAATCCCTACCCCACTATGAATTATTTTCGAGTTGGGCTTAGTTTGGATTTGGTTGACCCTCTCACAATGCATCCCAATTCAAACTTCAATTCACGGTTTAGAACATGTTTTGCTACAAAAAGCAGTTCATAATGAGTACAATTACCTTCAACATAGGATTTGAAGAAATCTTTGTAAGTCCCGCCAATTTTCCTTCTAAGAGCTCCATACTGCAATACATGAGAGGTGTTAGTAACTGGTTGAATACAGAGTCTCATTCAGTATTCAGATTTGCATTGAAAAACACACACACACATATATGCGTATGTATATATATATACATATATATGTAGTTTACCTGCTCCCTGTTCATCTGGCCTCCTGACTTTGTTGCTTCCCTGGCTTCACTCAGAAGCTGGGCATCCTCTTCTGATCTAACCTGAGAAAAATCCAGAGCTTCTGTCAAACTTCCAAAGAGAGATTGTTTCTCCGCCTTCTTGGGTTCTTCCTTACCCTTCTCTGACTGAGCTGAAACTACCCTTAATCTGGAGGTTCTGTGGAAATTATATGGTGACAAGTTTTGAGCAATTCCTGCATTTGGAAGGAAACCATTTTGTGTAGGTGACAAGGGAAGTGCCCTCAGTCCCATGTTTGCTTCCTTCACTCTAAAAGCAGGAGGACCTTCTGCACATTATATGTAGGTGGTGTTGTATGTCTGTGTGTGTTTTTTGTTTTTTTTTTTTTTTGGGGTGGCGGGGGGAGGGGAGGGGGGTGTAGACCTGTAGAATACTGCTACGTGTTAACTTGAAAAAGAATGGCTGCCACTGGAATTGCCTGGTGGTTCATGGGAGATAACGTGGCCCTTTGGCTGACTATGGAAATTGAGAGGAGCAACACACAAGAAATATCTTCCTCTTCTTCCTCCACATTCTCTTTTTTTGAGTGGCTGAGCTTGAATTTTTATATTTTCTAATTCTTTTTGAGATATGAGTAAGAAATGCAAGTATAGCAGTAAGGTTTACATCTTTGATACCATCAAACATACATGGTTATTGATACTGATGGGTTAAGCCCAAATAGTCCAATTTATGTATTAAAGCCCAACCCCGGTTGAGGAGCCTAACCTCATTGTGAATCCACCAAGTCCAAGACAGACCAAGGCCGGTTAGACTTCTTGCTTAGCACGTCACCAAGAGGAGAGCACGGGAAGTTTATCTGCACCGCCAAAGGAAACAGTCCAAATCCACCAAGTCCAAGACAGCCCAAGGCCGGTTAGACTTCTTGCTTAGCACGTCACCAAGAAGAGAGCACGGGAAGCTTATCCGCACCACCGAAGGAAGGAAACGGTCCAATCTTTGACCACGTTTCATGAAGAGCTCCCCAACCTCTTCCTTCCGTTGAGGATAAGTCGTGATCTCCACCAAAGATAATCCCTAAGCTGCGATAAAGAAGCCTTGAGGATATGTCATGATCTCCACAAAAATGATCTCTTAGCTACTATAAAATGGCTCTAATCTGGGAGAGGAAGGACACATGCTCCATCAGAGACTTACAGAAGACGAACCGACTACCGGAGATTATTATTTTCTTTGATTCTCCATTCCCCCTCTCAAAGCTTGTATCTCCATTCTCCATACCTTTGAATCAATAAAATACCCGGCGACTGAAGCCATTGAAGAGTGAACGTAGGTCGAATTGACCGAACCACTATAAATTGTGTCTTCTCTAATTTTTTCGTTGATTTCATTGCATTTATTATCTATACTTGACAGGTGGTGTGCAAAACCATTTTTGTGCATCATCAGTTTGGCGCCGTCTGTGGGAATCGACAAAATTCTCACTCCTGAACATTACGTCCATTAACTAATGGCGATCACTACTCGATCCATGAACCAACACGAAGACAATCCTCCACGAGAGGAGGAGGTTGCTCCCCCGCCTATCAACCCTGTTCCGGATACTTTAGCCCCGAATCCCCAACAAATATTGGAGACCATGCAGCAACTGATTGCTCAAAACCAACAGTTACTGCAACTCATACTTGCTGGACAAGGAGGAGCACCACACGGAGGTGCACAACATGGAGGACCCCAAGGTGGAGCACCACACGGAGGTGCACAACGTGGAGCACCACATGGAGGTGCACAACATGGAGGGCCCCACAGAGGTGCACAACATAGAGCACCCCAAGGAGCTCCACATCCTGGACATCAAGGAGCACCACGCCCTGTTGCTCCACGCCCGGGTGCCCCATTGGGCACCCCACTTCAGGAAGCCCAACATGAGGGAGCTGCACCTCCCCCTCCCCTTGCTTTCCAGGGAGAGGACCCTTATCTCCAGGAGGATGAGGGTGAAAACCAAAGCATGGGGCATGGAAGCCACTTCCATGATCATTCCAGAGGAGCCCCCAATCATTGGGACGAGAAGATAAAGGAGGTACAAAATCAACTCGGTGATGTCTTCAACGCCATGAAGGCACAGGGACCCGAGACTGTTGACCACCTGGTAAGGCGTACTGATACCCCTTTCAAATCTGATGTAGCAAACTACCCCCTCCCTCAGAAGTTCAAAATGCCATCTGTGGAGACCTTTGATGGAACAAAGGATCCACTGGACCACCTCGACACTTACAAGACCTTGATGCAATTGCACAACGTACCAGACGAAATCATGTGCAGGGCATTCCCAACCACATTAAAGGGGTCTGCCCGACAGTGGTTTGCTAAGCTCTCCCCCGCCTCTATTGCCTCTTTCGCCGAGCTTAGCAGATCATTCGTCTCACACTTCATAGGAGGGCGTCGCCACCAGAAACCAGTTACGCACCTGCTTAGTATAAAGCAGGACCGCGAGGAGAGCCTGAGGAGTTACCTCACTCGTTTTAACGAGGAGGTACTCCAAGTTGATGAACCTGACGACAAGGTGACGATGACCGCTTTCTTGGGTGGCCTCCGTTCATCAAGTTTCCTTTTCTCAGTTCTGAAGCGCCCACCGAAGAGCATGCCAGAGCTGCTAGCCAAGGCCCAAAAGTACATAAACGCAGAAGACATCACAAGGGCCAGGCGGGGTGAGTCTTCCAGAGCGGGTGAGAAAAGGAAGGAAAGAGAGAAGGACGATAAGAAGGAAACCAGCAACAAATATGGCAGGACAGAAAAAGTCCCTGTCAAGGACCGGCTAGGTCCTGCTCCTCAGAGGAACCGTCAACCTTTCACTCCCCTCAATGCTTCCGTGGAACACATCCTATTCCAGATCCAGGATGACCCCGCGATAAAGTGGCCTGGAAAAATGAAGTCTCCTCCAAATCGCAGAAATCCTAACAAGTATTGCCGCTTCCATCGTGACCACGGGCATGACACCGACGATTGCTACGACCTCAAGAGGCAAATTGAGGAGCTCATCCAGCGTGGTCACTTGCGTCAGTACGTTGCTGGAAGGGAACGTGTACCACAACCTCACAACCAGGAAGATCAGCAGCCTGTGGGGGAAATCCACACTATCTCAGGGGGACTAGCAGGTGGAGGAGAATCACTTTCCGCGATGAAGGCCCATGCCAGGAAGGCAAGACATGTCTACGAGATGCGCCCATCTAAGGTGCCGAAGCAGGAAAGCGACGAGGTCATATCTTTTTCAAACAAGGACCTGGAGGAAATCCAACACCCCCATGATGACCCCTTGGTGCTCACCATGACGGTGGCCAACTTTCATGTGCACAGGATCCTGGTAGATAGTGGCAGCTCTGCAGATATCCTATTTGCAGAGGCCTATGACAAGCTCAACCTGGGCAGGGAGAGGCTACAGCCAATCAGGTCACCCCTCATTGGATTCTCAGGGGAAAAAGTGTATCCCCTTGGATCCATCACACTTCCCGTCACCGCCGGAGTAACACCCCGAAGCTCCACAGTCATGGTCAATTTCCTGGTAATAGAATGCCCGTCAGCCTACAACATCATATTAGGGCGACCAGCTCTTAACACATTAAGAGCTGTGCCCTCTACCTACCATCTCGTTCTCCGCTTTCCAACCTTAAATGGAGTCGGAGAGGTCAAAGGGGACCAAATAACAGCCAGAGAGTGCTATGTATCCTCTATGAAGGCTAGGAAGCCCCAAGAAGCATTGCAAGTTGAGGTCCTTGACCCAAGGGATGACTCCGCAACAGAAAGAGGAGAACCAGTCGAGGAACTCATCCCTGTGGTCTTAGAAAAGGAGCACCCAGACAGAAGAATTTACATTGGCTCTTCCCTTTCTGAAGAGCTGGCTCCCCTGTTGATTGAATTTTTGGAGCGTAATATGGACATCTTTGCTTGGTCACATGAGGACCTTGAGGGCATCAACCCGGAAGTAGCTACCCACCACCTCAATGTCGATCCGCGGTACAAGCCTGTTCGCCAAAAGTTAAGGGGAGCCTCCTCTGAAAGGGCCCAAGCCATGGACAAGGAGATTCGAAAGCTGGTTGATAACGGAGCAGTCAGGGAAGTGGCGTATCCAGAGTGGCTCTCCAACGTAGTAATGGTCACTAAGGCTAATGGGAAGTGGCGTCTCTGTGTCGACTTCACAGAACTGAACAAGGCATGCCCAAAAGATAGTTATCCACTGCCGCGGATTGACCTCCTCATCGACGCCACCGCTGGGCATGAGTTGCTCACTTTCCTGGATGCATACTCGGGGTACAACCAGATTAGCATGCATCCCCCAGACCAAGAGAAGACATCATTCATCACGCCAAAGGGGACATACTGCTACAGGGTCATGCCCTTTGGGCTAAAGAACGCTGGAGCAACCTACCAACGGCTGGTGAACAAGATGTTCCAGTCTCAGATCGGGCAAACAATGGAGGTGTACGTGGATGACATGCTGGTAAAGAGCCTTGCAGCAGTAGACCACATTGATCACCTCCAAAAAACTTTCAACGTCCTGAGGTCCTATCACATGAAGCTCAACCCTGAGAAGTGCGCCTTTGGTGTGGGGTCTGGTAAATTCCTGGGCTTTATGGTCAATCAGAGGGGAATTGAGGCAAACCCTGACAAGATCAAGGCCATTCTTGACATGAAGTCACCCTCTTCAACCAAGGAGCTCCAGCGCCTCAATGGAAGGATCGCAGCATTAAATAGGTTTGTCTCCAAATCTGCAGATAAATGTCTCCCCTTTTTCAAAACTCTCCGAAAAGCCTTTGAGTGGAAACCTGAGGCAGAGGAGGCTTTTCAAAAGCTCAAAGCCTACCTAGCAGCACCTCCCCTCCTGTCACATGCTGCCCCTGGAGAAACTCTCCATCTATACCTATCTGCTTCCCCATCAGCGGTAAGCTCAGTGCTCGTTAGAAACAACAATGGAGTGCAGAAACCAGTTTATTACGTGAGCAGGGCATACCGGGGGGCAGAGGTCAGATATTCAGCACTAGAAAAACTGGCACTCGCTCTGGTCACGACAGCGAGACGGCTGCGACACTACTTCCAGGGCCATCGTATGGTGGTCATCACCGACCAACCACTTAAAAGAATCTTGGGAAAGCCGGACGTGTCTGGAAGACTTCTTAAATGGGCAGTAGAACTCGGGGAATTCGACATTCAGTACCAACCTAGGACGGCCATCAAAGCACAAGCCCTAGCAGATTTCGTAGCTGAACTCACACCAACAGAAGATGGGAACAGTGAGGAT